TGTCGTGCCATGCTTTGTGATGTTGGGGGGCCAGGTCGTGCCACTACAAGGAGCCGCTACATCAACTGTTTCAGGACCGGGCTGCACAACTGAAAGTTGCAAAGAAGCCACAGCTGCGACGCTGGAGCTCGATATGACAGTAGCACAACTGAAGCGCAGTTGTCATTAGCGGCTTGGCTGAGAGGTGCGGTCTTTCTTCTTCCCTTGCAGCCCTGTCAACTTCCAATCCACCAGCGATAGTTATTTCAATGTCAAATCTTTGTGTTGGGTATCCGTGTAAGGTTGCGCAAGAAGTGTCTAGCGGATCCAGTCAAACAACATCACTCCCCTGCCCATGACACTACCATTAGGCGAGTAGGCCCAAAGCCATATGCAAGACCTCCATATTTCAGCCATCGTAAGGATTTCCCTGAGCTTTTCAAAGACGTGCCCTCGTCGAAGCGCTTGATGGAGGCCCCTTTTTCCGGGTGTGCCATGCAGACTGGTGCTGTCAGGGGGCATGTGTGCGAGAGTGAGGACACATTCTGTAGACAGGGGGTAGGATGAGAAGCATCAACACTTCATGCAGCCAACGCTGCGCCCCGCATGTAAAGCACCAGGTGAGCTCGTGCAAGTTGTGCAGGACATTCATCTTGCATGTTTTCTGTTGGACGGCTGCCGTGACCTCCGGCCCAAAGGAGTTCTCCTTAGTTGGTTCGGCGGTGCGTGAAGGAGTTGAACGCGGCTGAATGTTGTGCGTTCCTTGTAAATTGGCCTCGGGTCACGAGCTTGTCTCCGAGAACCGTCAAAGAAGCATCGAGGTGCTAAGCTCCGCTTCATGTTCGTTGTAGTTGCCTTTCAAAACGGGCTAAGAGGCTAAGATTCAACAAGTAGACTACAGCCTTGAACTGTGCACTCTATTTTTTCTCTGAGTGGATGACGAAGACATAGCATGTCCCACCCTGCTTAGCCTATTCTCGACAGGCCTGCAAGGCGAGGCCCTGTGAACAATGCGGCCGAGTTCCACACCGCGGCCTCTTAGCAGTGTTGGCTAGCGGAACAGGCCCCACGTAAAGTAGTGGCTGGCACAGTTGGCACACAGCTGCTCAAAGACACTTGCAGCCTTACAGCCCAGACAGCAGATGGGCCTTCCGCTCTACAGCCATCCTCTGATTCAAGCTACCTCACCCCTATCTGAACGAGGTTGGGGCAACCTCATCTGCCCAGACTGCTCGGATGCTGGGGACGTGCTGGAGGCCCCGTGCGACCAGATTGCAGACTACAGCAACTTCAGACTGGCCTGACCAGGTGTTCTGGAAGAATGCTCAGGCACGTTGTCCCCTTGTGCCACGTAAGGAGTGTCTGCAGGTCGTGTTGGCTGTTGCAGACACGCGGGGAGAAGAATAACAAACATGTCGGCAAAGTGCTGTTCAGCTCACAAGTCCACAAAGCCTGGCAGTGCCCAGGCAGAAGCTCCATCAGGTAAGCGGGTGAACCTTATCCAGATGTTGCCGCAAGTGTCTGGCACTCAAAGAGGCTGCTGAAAGGAGGGCAGTGTCAGGAGAGTACATGCCACGGTTTCTTTCACATCGGCTTAAGCGCTGGTTCTTGCTACCCAGTGGTTCCTGTAAATTGGCCCGGCGTGTTCAGGTTCGGGACGCCTGCTAGCTGGACTCAAGCCGAAGAAGCGGTTCTCACTTGACCACTGGCACATATGCCACTGCACATGACTGGGGCTGTCTTAGAAGAAGTTGAACTCAGCAAAGCGTGAGAACTCTTAGTTGCCCTTGCAGTCATCTGGAGTGACACAATCCTTTAAATCCTTTAAACTTTAAATACCCGAGCTCTCTCAGAGATGCCTTGGTTGAAGAGCGTTTCACGGCATGTGTGAGTTTGCTTGTCAGAAGTAGCGCTGCCTTAATAAGAAGGAAATTCCATGTGCAGGCCCGGCACTGTCACGCTCACACAACCTAATTCCACAGTCGGTGCATGGTAGTGAGACTTGATGCGGCTGTCTGACAGGTCCTTGTACTTGGTCGTTCGAGGTCCTTCGTGCATGCGTCTTCCGAGGTTTTATGCGTTTTCATTTTTTGCCAGCGTCGATCTCTTGTGTTTAATCTCTGTCGTTTGCTTGGCCGGCGTGGAGTATCATGATGGGAAGTATCCCGGGCAGTAGGGGCCACCTGCTGGTCCGAGCCAAGCTGCGACGTAAAAGACTTTCGACTGCAAGTGCATGCCTGTGAAAAGGAAAGCCTCGTGGCAAGGGGGGGATGCGGCGGTTTCGGGCTTACGTTCAGGTATATTTGGGCACAAGGCTCACAGGTCGAGGTGGTTGTACGGCTGGCTACGTGTGTATTCTGCATCTGAAGTTGGCGTATCCAGACATACCTCACTCCCGCAGCGTTTGCTTCAGCAGCATCATCTCCCACATGTGCTGGACATTGACGGCATGGCGACATGACGTGCGTTTGTGGTATTCAGATGTTGGTCTAGTCTAGCATTGTCTGGTCATCGGTGACAAGTCGGAATCTTGCCGTACCGCAAAGGCATGGCCTTGTAGTTTGATGGCCAGCAGCTACTTGTAACAAGCAGGAGCACCCCGAACCAAGTCAATCCACTGAAGTCAGCTTTGGTTCTCGGAGTCGCATCAGCACTTGGTCCTCGGTTTCGTCGGAGTTTGTGCTTGGGGGCTATGCTTGGCTTTGTCGGCCATCCGCTGCTGGCCCCGAACTCCCAGGTGGGGCGGTAGAAGACTCTGCAGCATGTGCCATGAAACAGCTGGGACCTTTCTTGCGGGGACCGCAATGCTGCACCCGACAACCCTGGGAACATATGGGGGTTTCCAAAGATTGGGGTACCCTTCTTTGGGGGGCTCCTTATATAAGAGGATTCTATCCTATTTTGGGCCCCTATTTTGGGAAATGCCTATTTGGGAGTCCAAACATGACGCGGTAGGTTGAGTGTCGGGACAGCGGGAGGGTGCGCAGCACTTCCTTAGAGAACTGAACGTGAGCCCTTCCGAAGAAGAGGGTGTTCTCACATGTTAAAGCGGTTGTTGTTGGGGTTCGGGGGGTAGGCGGCCAGCCGCTTACTGACGACAAGGCGCATAAACGTTTTCGCTGTTGATTCCCCAATCAAGAACGAATGCAACCCTAAATGCTTTAAGCATTTATTCATATTTGGAGCGATCGGACAATCGGGCACGGTTCCTCCATGTGCCACCTTAGCCAGTTACATACTCACCCGCTCACTTGCTCACCCTTTCACTCATTCCCTCACTCACTCACGTCACTCACTCACTGGCTCAGCACTTCATCAGTATGCCTTACGTGGTAAGACACGAAATCCCGTGTTATGAGCTCGCAGATCCCCAAGGTTCATTCTGACGCTTTGGGAAAGTTAGAATACAACAAGACCATTCGCACTTTGCGCGAGAATGTTGTTCGTATCATGAGAACTCACCTCGGCTTGTCGCCGTAGGGCCCACATGTGTCACATGAAAGATGACGGTTTTTCACGGAGCCGGAGATGTACCAGAACGCTTCCCAAGCATGTCTACCTCATGTTCTTCAAATAGACTAGCGAGAGGCCTCTTAGTTGCTGATTTCATGTGTGCTTTTTCTGCTTCTTCTTCTTCGCTTGCAGGTTAGGATGGTTGCGTTGTTTTATCCGTAGTTCTGTCCGCTGTTCAGAATCTTCCTGCTTCCGGTGGAGAAGACGCTTCCGTGGTTGCTGGGAACGAATTCAGCGATAAAAGCCCAAGCTATTTCGACCCGTGGCCCGAATCATCCCCCTCCAATATGAACCCTCTCGCCCCCTAATATTAAATCTTCTCCAGACATCATAATGTAACAACCAAAAGGGATTACTTCACACTGATCGTGCATTGCCAGGGAGCCGCAAGACACAGTATTTTCGGGGTTTAGGGGTTACTTCATGCAGCACTTTCGTGTGGAGAACCCTGTCTTTGCTGTAGTTTTCACTATGGAGGCCGACATGTATGACGCACTTGCACCTGTCATTCAAACTTTGCATCATCTCCTCATTGAAGAATTTCACATAGTCCTCACCGTTGAAATGATTTCTCGACGCTGGCATTGTCGGATAGAGACGTGCTGTCAGTAGTACTCCTCCTCCTCCTCCTCTGTTCATGTGCTGTGCCGCAACAACTTCCATCCCCTGCCGACTGCCCAAGCCCGCATGCAAAAGGGCTTCGCGTAGAGCCCGATGCAAAACGAAGGGTTTAGGGGTTAGTGGTTTAGAGGGATATTCTCATGTTAGCAGAAATATGCTCCACGCACCGGAAACTTCAGAACGTATTTGGGACGCAACGGGCAAGATTCAGAACCCAGGTTCGCACAAGCAAAACCTTCTCTGGAAAGGGGGTCGCCACTTCATAAGCTTGCAAAAACACCCTTTCAGCTAGCGTCATGGCCCCTACCTCTCAGAACTCCTGTCCTAAATCCAGAGACGCTCGAAATCTCGATGCCTTTCCACAAATCAACTTCCCAACTCCCCGACCCTCTCACAAATCGGGGCGTTTTGCCATCAGTCCGTAGTTTGGTTTCCGAGTGATCGTTTCCCGATCAGTCTTAGCTTGCAGGTCGTGGCTACCGAATCAGGGTTCGTTGCCGAATCATGGATTCGCTCTGCGGACCACTGGAAAAGGGGACGTACAACAGAGCAGGTAGGTTCGCGATGGACACAATGAAGTACAACGTTAAGCGTAGAATCGCGTCTGCAATTGTAGTCGTGGCCTTGTCTTTCACAATGCTATGCATTGTTGAGAAGCACGCGGAGAGAAGACAGACCCGATACGCCCAGAACCACTTTTTGAGCAGAAGAGTGAAAGCAGCTGAAGTGATGTTCCATATCCCTGTGTTGTATCTTAGGTGAAGGGGACCAGAGAGTGGGACCAGGTTGGTCAAGAACCCGTTCAATACCGACACATTCCTGGGGCCTTGGGACTTTGGGGGAGGGATGGTTGGGCGTGCGAGGCACCATGGTGCTAGGAGGACTTCATGGCTGAGGTCGCGCTGCAGCAGCCTGGAATTGTGGGGTTCGCCGGGTTCGCACTCGTCTAGCTACACAGTGGATGTCCGCCTGCCCACAGCTTATGCCAGACTGGCATCTGCAAGTTGGGTCGGCGGTGCATGTCGTTCCGAGGGTGCTGCTGGCTGGGAAACCTTCCGTGATGAGAGCTTCGATCCTTGGAATGCAGAGGGGGGACGGCATCTTCTGCCTTTCGGGGATCTGCGTTGCTAGGCCCAAGAACTGAACATCAGGCTTGCGTCGAGCCAGAGGCCCGAGTCACGTTAAACTGTTGAGAAGTAAATACTCATGCGCCCAACATGCGCCCAACATGCGCCCAACCATGGTAAGCACGTTGATTGCAACCTCGAAGCTCGTGGTTTATCCAAGGATGAGGTGCCATTGCTGATTGAGCCGCCACCCCCTCCGCCTTTGGCAAGGGAGGTGGAGGCCAGCGATTCCGTGTTTCGCCACAACATTGGGGTCATCTTTTGGCCTGCGTGCCGCGCATGTCTCGTGCGTCGCTGTTGCGCCCCTCGGATTACAACGCGCTCGCGAGGAGGTGGGAACCTTGGAGGAGCTCTTGGACCAGGGTGAGTCACTCCTCCAGGCTCTTGATGGCTGTCTTTCGCTGGGGGTAAGCACCCGTCTGCGGTCAGTTTATGCACTAATTGCCCGGATTGAGAGGCTTTGTATTTCGACCATATTTGTCACATCAGCTAAATCAAACTGCGCCTGGAAGCCTTCGAGGTCTAAAGCCTTCCTGCAGAGATCTGGCAGTATCGCATATCGGAGCTAGAATTCATCACAAGTTGGGGGGTCGAAGACCCAGTGCTTGAAGAGGCGGCACGCGTTGTAAACACAACTGTTGTAGCCAGCTCTGTCTTTGGCCGTCTGCCTCGATGCTGGCAGTATCGTAGGGCTGCGTCCTAGCAGCCAGGAATACCGCAGCGGGAGTACGACATTGATTGACCGGATATGTACCCCCGAGAATGTGTGCGCTTTGGCTGGGGCCCAAGAGTAAGCAGGTTGCTGTGGCTTGTCGGTCTTGGCTGGGCCGAGCTGCTCTTGCACATAAGAGCTCCGGCAGCTGCGACAGCTACGACAGCTGGCTTGCATGGGTGCTGAGGTAGACCTAGCCACAAAGCAGCCAGGGGAAGGCCGGAGCTGCTGTTGAGCTCTGCCAGCTTGTGGGTGTGCTCAGGAAGGCTCAGGATGTTTTCGACATCTGATGCTACTTCCTCGATTTGTGTCCCCGGCTTGTCGACGACGGGCCCGCGTTTTTTGGTTGTCAGGTGTTCCACCCGATCGAGCACGCCTCCGTAGCCACACGGTGCCGGTCTCAGAGGTTGCAAGCTTTCTGCTTGGCTTGGATCGTTTGTCGAAGGGAAGTGCAGTTCGGCCGTGTGCTACCGGTGATCGGAGACTAACACGCCATGCTTTCTCTCATCACTACCCCACGCCAAGATCTGTTTTCGAGTTAAGTTTCGGCTCAAGTACGGAGTTTGCTGTGTACTTAACAGCTCATTCGGCTCGGATCAAGTGAGCTCTGGCTCTGACTCTCTGGCAGGCTGCCGAGCTACTGTCGCTGTGCAGCCCGGGCGCAGAGGCCTGGAGATGAAGAAGTCCCACTGGGCCCAACCCCGCAACTGGCAGTTGTGTGCAAGTTGAAAGCAAGGCTTCTTCCATCCTCGGCGTGGAAATTGCTCCATGTCACCTGTCTCTTCGCAAACTTCTTGGCTGCTGCAAGCCGAAGAGCGCAAAAGAACCCGCCCCTTCAATCCTACAGTTATGCAGATACGGAATGTACAGGTCCAGTCCACCAAATCTCCAGACTCTTTCGAAGTTCCGTGGGCTGAAGGTCGGGCTGAAAGGTCGGGACTGGGAAAGCGTTGGGTGGATCCGGCCTTCGCTGTGCCCTTTGCAACGGAAAAATCCCCCAAACAGAGAGGCCAACCCCTCCAGCAGCACTCTCTTAACATTTCGGCATCTGCGCTACGAGCGAACATGCCATCTGTCGACCGCCACAGAAAGCCCCAAAGTCCCAAAAGGGCAGCCTTTTCGCATTTGCATCTCACATGCAGGGCACGCAGGACGAGCCCTGCAAGTTGCGCTTGTCCCAAGCTTTCTTTGTGCGGGGCTTAATTTTCCTAAGGTCCGGATATGTCTACTGTATCTCCGTCTCTGTCTTGGTTCGTTCGTGCGTTTTATTATTAGTGTTGTATTTATATATTGAACTTGTGCGTGTATGTTTCTTTGTTTGTTTTTTGTTTGCTCGCTTTTGTTTGTTTGTTTGTTTGTTTGTTTGTTTGTTTGTTGGTTTGTTTGTTTGCTTGCTTGCTTGCTTGCTTGTTTGTTTGCTTGTTTGTTTGTTTGCTTGTTTGTTTGTTTGTTTGTTTGCTTGATTGTTTGTGTATGTGTCTCACAGCTTTTATTTTCTTCTTGTGTGTGTGTGTGTCTTTTTGTCTCTTTGTGTGTGTGTGTGTTAAGTCTTAAGTGTGAAGCGGACTTGCTCTTTGTGTGAGTGTTACCACGTACTTGCAGCCGGTTGGCTTAGTCTTTGTACGCGGCCAAGAGGGAAGTTGTCCTGGGTCCTGGGAGCAACATGAAGCAACTTCCCAAGGTGAATGGCAGCCATGGCACTTCTGCAAATCCTCTCGAAGCATTGTGGGCGCCTTGCAAGTTCGGCAGGAACGCGAGAAAGTACTAACTTACGGGTCTGACTGACTGTAGAAACTTCAGCATGTTTCGGATCTCACGGCTGCTTGTGCTCGTGAGCAATGGCTGTGAGGTGGAGTTTCCTTCTCGATGCCCGCCTGGATCCCCGAAAATCAAGCTGGACGGTGCAGCGCTGAAGACAACAGGGGGGTCTCGGGCGCGGTGTGTGTTGGTTCTGCATTGGGGGTAGGGGAGATGGGAGATGGGGGATGTGGGTGGCATGCCTGCAACTCCTTAATTCTGGGAGAAGTTTCGCCGACATGTTTGTAGCAACACCGAGCCAGCTATTGACAGGTTCTGGCTGGCTATTTCTGCCACATCGCCCTGGCCTTGTACCACCGGTGTCCAGACCAGGCCCACCAACTCCGCGTAAGCAAACCAAAGCACCCGAGAATTGGCATGCTCCTCTGTGCAGGTCATCGAATATCTGCGTCGTTGCGGGCCGGAACAGGCCCCGGCCTCTCTAGCTCGGCATCCCCACGGGTACGAGTCGCGAGGTCGAGGTCCGATGAGTCCCAGGTAGCAGATCCTCTAGACAAGGGCCTCCGCGTGATCTTGCCAAGTTAGGTTTTAGCATTTCCTGGCCTGAGATCAATGGAGTTCATTCATCTATGAAGTTGTATGAAAGTCTACGTGTGGATTTAGAGAGTTCTCGTGCCTTAGCCATTCGTGATTTTTGAGAACGATGCAACAGTAGTCGGCTACAGGTACTGGAGAGCTTTCTGCACTTTCTTGGGACGAGGCAGGGTTGGCGGGATGATATGCCCGGAGCTTGCAGCGAGAACACGCGCTATTCCCCAACCCTACGGGGCTCACAGCGAGACCACGCGGTTCCCCAACCCTTCAGTACCTCAACAGGGTCATCGGACTAGCTGTCTGTTGGCCTCCTCTTGCGAGAGCGGCCAGGTGTGTAGCAGAGCTCTTTGCCACTCTGCTATGTACTCCCGCGGGGGCCTTAGGCATGGGCCATGAAACCGCAACGATCAGGGCATTTGTCAGGGTTGTTTTGTGGAGAGATGCTCGTGCCTGTCCCAAGCCTTGCTCAGTGGTGCAAGTCAAAGTGGTAGTCTTGGGTGGTCTGTGGCCTGCACCGAGGATGCAGAGCGTGGTCTCTTCGAAGTGGACGGGCTTATCCTCCGCTTAGTGGATCACTTGTCAGGTCCCTGCACTGGCTGGTACAAGTTAAAAGAGCAACTCAAAAAACTACACCTTGTTTGGGCTTTGGTCAGATTCACACTGCAAAGAGCTGAATCCTGCTGATGTTCATGCCTGCAGACTCGTGGCAGGCGATGTGGCTCCCAGCGAAGATGCGAACGAGAATGTCTCGCTTGTCTTAAAGACGTTGCTTTGCCAGGCTGTGCAAGCATGTCACAGTTTGGCCTCGTTGCTTGGCAGAGTACCACATCATCTAGGTCAAGCTCGTATGCAGTGACTAGCACATAGTCTGAATTGCCTTGGCCCACTCGGCCCACTCGGCTAAGTATTGAAAGGTGCTGCCTGCACGGTAGAGAACTGCAGAGTGAGAAGCGTGTTTTGCGGATTATGTCCCGTTCTGCCACGATGATGCAGGACAATATAGATCTGCCCTGAGTTGTACTGCTCGGCCTTGTTGAGAAGGCATGTAGCAAGAAGCTCTACTTCGCCTCTGCGGTCGTCGATCAGATGTGCGGTGCTTTCAAGTGGCCTTCACTTGGAGCTTGCAGTACCTCATGCTTGGAGCCTCATTTAGGTTGTCAATTTTGCTTCCGAAGTTCTGTTTGAACCATGGGCCTTCGACGTCGAGGATAAAAGGGCTAAGAAAAGGGGCTTTCTGCTCGTTGTGCACCCTGCCGGCCTCGCGGGCCCTCGCTCGAGGCCTGTGCGCGTGTTTTTGCCCGAAATCGTGCTCTCGATTCCAAATCTCGGGGTATGTCTCGCCTCATGTCTAGAAATTTCCTAGCGGCAACGTGCTACGTCGGCGGGTGTGGAGAAAGACGGAGAAAGGCAGCAAAGATGATTCCTTACCAGGCTGCACCGCTGTTTTTGGGTCCATGCCGGCACGGATGACGTGACTGTCGCAATGCCGAATCAGAGAGCATCACGTGGAGTGAGTTGAGGTCCTCTGCAGTGGTGGTGGAGCGGCTCGTCAGTAAGGCCGCCGGGGCGGTGACCTGCACCATAGCACGCCCAGAATACCGAAGAGGTTTGCAAGCCTGATGATCCAGTCAATTGGCCATGCCAATTCAAGTCCATTCGCCTTCCCTCAAGCCAGTGCATGGCATGCATGTGTACGACTGCTTGGAGGATGCTGATGCTTCCAGTAGTACGTAGACTCTGAACCGTGGATCTCAGATCTTCTGCTGCTACCCATGTTCATCCGCAGAGGCATGCGCAGAGTCCTCTGACCTTGCTTCCATGGCAAAAGCCGCAGCTGCTCAGATGAAGCCTTTGCTAAGCTGTTGCTTCTCTGGGCGCCTTCTCACAGCTTTTATCCCTTGTAGGGAACTTGGATGAGCCACTCCCAGCTGTTAATGAGACGCAGTCTCAGTGTCAAACCTCTTTCGCCCCAGAGCACTCATCATCCAAGGCATCCGTGCTGGTTGGTGCAGTGTCTCAGCTCCTGCATGGAATGTTTGCCACCCAGTCATTACAAGAGACCAGGGTCAACATGCCTTCGTAGTTCGTAGCTTTTGAGCTCTTTGCCGCTGGTACAATTTTAATGAACCCTTCGCCAATCTCAATGTTTGAGTCTTGATTAAACACTGTACTTAAAGGTCAAGGTCAAGGTCATTCGAAGTCATTGCTTTCGAGTCCTTGGTGGGTGTCTTTGAGAGTACCGGCTGATGTGGGTGCAGAATGGTGCAGATGCATCTGCGTAGATTCCTTTCGCCTTGAATTGGCGGGTTCAGAAGGAGCCCAGTACGCAAGGAAGCAACCTCATTTTTCGCGCGATCAGCTGAGCTGCAAGAGGCCCAACCCTGCGTTGGCCAGCAAGGGGCCGAACCTGCTGCGACCTTTCGAGGAGGCGGGCCACCTGAAACACCGTCCTTGCAATGCATTTGGGGGGTTACGAAATAGAGTACCCTTGTTTGGGGTTCCTATAACAGGGATTATAGCATTTGGGGGTATATAAGGATTACCCTTATTTTGGGAAAGGGGCGTGTTTCTTTGTGCCCTTGGTCTGAGAAGGAGGAAGGCCATGCTCACCAGACAGAGGTCGATGGCTTGGGGCCCAGATTCCGAGAACCTGAAGCAGAGCAAGTTCGCAGTTCCAAACCATGCTCTGTGTTGCCCGTGTTGCCGGTCAGCTACACGCATGTCACATGATTTCGCATCTGTCGTCTCGCAATGTGGCCAGACATTGGATAGCATTCGCCAGTGCTGTCGCATCTGAGATGCGTTGCGTGCAGCGGGCGGTGCGCTTGCCGACCCGTCCACGCTTGGAGTGAGGGCCCGCCAGGAATCTCACATAAGTTGCGTCGTGATCATATTTGGAGTCGTCCTGACATGCTTCTTGATCCTGTCTGCTAGAGGCAGCCACCAAGTGACAGCGGAAGAACATCGAAGAACCAATGCGCTTGTCAAGCATGACCTCTTTGGATTTGGTAGGACTAGGTAGGAATCAGGACTGCAAGAGTTTCTGGAATAATTGAATGCCCTCCCGTTTTCTGGCATCTTGGCAGGTCCGGCACTTGTGCCAGCACCTGCCTGCCCTCTGTGCTGGTCTCAGGGCAGTGCTCTGTGGGTACAGTCTTGCTTTCGCGCAGCTGATCAGTTGCTGCAGTGTTGCTGCCCTGGCCCCTTGTTTGTACTTTGTAAGGTTGCTTGCCTTTGTGTGTGATGCTTTGCCTTCTGCCAGGCGATGCAATGCAATCCTCCCTTCTGCCTTTGGCGTCTTTCCCATCTGCTTGCCCTTTAGTTAGACCTCATGCCTGAGGCAGCAGTTTCTTGGGCCCGGCTTCGACGGACGGTGTTGTCTTCATTGCTTCCCTCAGCCTTGGGCGGTGGAATCTTAGTTGTGGTTGCAAAAGTTTTATAGGATGGCGGGCTCCCATGCCGATCGATGCCCGTTCTGCTGCTCAATCCTGAACGCGCGCAAACGGTTTCGTTTTCTTTTCTTGCGCAGGAGGAGGGTGCAAACACATTACCTGAAGGCACACAGCCCGGGACTCAGCTCCTTCGACTCCGGCTGGTTGACATCGTGAAGGTTGCTGCTGCAGATGTTCCAGACAGCATATGAATAGTGAGAATGAGAAGCGCCTCTGCTGGCATGCTTTGTTCTACTCTTGTTCTTGCTTACATGGACATAGAGTCAATGTGTTTATATATATATATAACATGGGTGTACTTTCTTCAGGTGAAGCATGCAGTAATCTAGCCCATCACAGGACCATCACAATCATGACAAGGCCGCACACCATGACTCCACCCGTACAGAAATAGTGCTGCGGCTTTGCTCGGGCGCTGGCTATGTTAAGTGCACATGTCGTCGACATGTTCAGGATGCTTAGGTGTCCAGTCCTCCATGGTAGGTCAATTTGGTCAATCTGGGTGTTTCCGCCAAAAAGGGTACTTTACTGGGAATCCCATTATTTGAGGGTCTATTTTAGGGGTCCCCTATTTTCGTAAACACCCATTTTAGAATTTTAGAATATAGTACAGATTCCATGGCAGAGGCACCTGCTGGATGGGCAGCGCCTTCGGGATGCGATTGTCCTTCTGCTCGAGGCCAGAGCCCCATAGAGTTGCTTTTGTACAGCTGTGTATTGTGAAGGTTTGGCTGGGGGGTGTTGGAGAGACGTGAGGTTGAATATCCCAGTCCCCACAGTCTTAACCCCATGCCCAGGCTTGCCAACGTTCTGCGTAATCTATGGCACCTCTATTGGGGTTGGCAACACCTGAGTGCCCTTGGCAGGTTGCGGAGAGCGACCTGTGCAGCGAGGCCCCTCGCATCGAAAGAGCTTGTTGTTAGGACATGTGTTGCGGGCGTTGGCGGACACCCTGCTTCTTTGCGGTGTCACTAGGATGAACGGGCGGAGCCGATCTGCTTGTGACAATTTCTGTTGTGGCAATCTTGCCAATTCCTGTCAGGATCTGTGGAATCAGCTCTTGCAGCTGGCGACAGATTCGAAGCTGCTCGAGGAAACGGCAAGCTTGGCTCACGTGCTTGAAGCTTGCGGCTCTTGTGGAATCGCTCAGTCGAAACGAATTTCTCTCCTTCACGGCATGTGCGAAGAAATTCACTGTTGGAATCACTGTTGGAAACTCAACTCTTCATGTCCATGTGATCGCTTCGCTGTAGTTGTCGCGCTCTTAAGACGGGAACTGCCTGCGGGTGCCTAGTTGGGCCTCGTTGCAGCGAGAACACTTGTCATGGGGCGCCTTGGGAGCCTTTGGGGGAGCAGGACACTCTCAGCGCCCACCTCGCCCTTCGGGATGGCAGCAGCGAGACCGGGGAGGTTGCGAGGGCGGGTTTGGGTTTCGGGTTTCGGGTTTAGGGTTTAGGGTTTAAGGCTCAAGGTTCAGGGTTTAGGGACTGTAGGCGAGGTCGGCTATCAGGTTGGGTAGGCTGGTAAAGGCAACTTGAGGCTTGATCTGGGTGGAAGGGTGATCTGCAAACACCACCACATGGCCTTGCTTTTTGAACGGGCTGCAGAGCCGGACTTTGATGCTACAAGCGATTGTTGAGCTTTGATGGAGTCGTTGACAGTCTCAATAAGGCTCCTGCTTTGTGTCACAGGTTTTGAAGAAGAGCCTGCTCATCGCTGATCTTCGCCGCGCTCGTGCCGGGATCCCACAAGGCATGCTTGGCATCTGCGGTTGAGCACCAAGCAGCGGACGCGAGAACATGTTCGTTTTCTCGTCAGATTGAGAGGATGCTGCGCAGACAGCATTGGCCAAACTTGCAGTGCCATGCCAGCAGAGACTGAGGCAGCTCATGAGGCAGAAGCCAGCATGCTCTGTCAAACTACGAGGCACGGAGCCTGTTCTCTCTTGAGCATTCTGAACTGTCTGTGCCGTTCTGTGCACGTCAGGTCGGTGAAGGTGGCGGATGGACCGGCTGCCATCGAAGCCAGTGGCCAAGCAAACCTACGATACTACACAGTACGACTCAGTAACGAAAACAATGTACAGCATGACGGGCGTCGTGGACCCTGTGGCCCTGCAATTGGCGAATATTTAGCATCGCAGGAAGGTCAGCAGGCTTGTGGAGATCGGACAAAGACTTCATGTCAGCATCCTTGCCAAATAGAGCGCGTCAACTCTGGCAAGCCCCGCAAGCCCATGCTCAGGCCATGTCACTGCTGGTGGAGCTTGCTCGTCTGCAGGATTCAGAGGTGCTGCAGGCGCCTTGCAAACAGCTGCAACAGATAGGAATTGGCATGGCGAGTCCGAGGGATTTACCCGCACATTGATTCATTATTGTGAGCCGGCCTCAAGGCAAAGCCAAGTGTGAAACGAATATGGCCGATGAGTCGCAACCAAATTTCATGAGAGTCCAAAACTGGTGTACAGACCACGTCCACATCGGGAGAGATACTGGACAGGTAGCCATCTCAGATAGTACACGAGGCGCAAGAACCACATGGCTGCTGAGTTCGAGTGACAGAGACAAGGTTAGAGGAACAAAAGCCGAGTGGCCGAAGATCGGCTGACAAATTGTCGTCAGCACAAGGCGTACTCTCAAGTGTCATAGCCGAGGTCTTGAAACAGCTCCCTTTCCATAAAAGAAATCTCAAAAAATGCTGTGCTGCTGGGTGAGAAACTACGTTGAAAGGCATGTGTTGGGGGTCGGGGGGCGAACGCGCGTGAGAGCGCATGAGTCTGCAATGCTGCCCCCAAGCCATGTGAAGCTGTGGAAGGCGTTCGTGGAGCAGCGCGTGCTGTCGCGGGGTGTTCGCCGACTCTTTGACCGGTCTTGGGGCGCGGTGATGTTGAACTCGGCAGGGGCCTCAGGTTTGGTTCAGCGCAGAAGCGTGTCATAACTACCATGAAGAATCTGGCTCTCCGTCCTTGTGGGGTCTTGGATGTTTCTAGGGGGTGGTGGGGGGGGGGGGGCAGATTTCGTGTTGCTACGACGGCACTGGGTGTCGAGAAGCGTGAACAAACGGGTCTGCCTTCATAGCTTAGAGATTGGCTGGGCTCAGTGCTTTCAAGGCCCTCTGTAATTAAACATAATTTACGTCCTGGTATCTGAAAAAAACGCCGAACGGAAGAACGCTAAAGCCATCGCTTAAACAGGGGCTTGTAACAGCTGTTTCTTTACCAAGATTGCTTATGTTTGGGACTTCTTAGCAATTGTACTTTGCAGGAAGATGCTGCTTGCAAGTGTGATGTTGCGCCCCTCCTTAGAGCAGGCCCCCATCTGTAAGCCGTAAAGTTAAGTTTGCCGGCTTACGGGGGATGCCCCCCCCCCCCAAAGGGGCATGCTTACAGGCTTAAAGTTTGGCGGTGGCCAAACTCATGAAAGTTCGTGGGGCCATTGCCCGGTAGCCTTGCAATAAAGTTGCTGGCCGCGCCCAAACCCGGGGATCGCACCCCCGCCCCACAGAGGCCTTTCTGAGTTTCAACCACTTTTGCGTGGGGTAGGGGTCGCTGAAATGGACAGTGCACAGCAAAAAGATCCAAAGTCAAAGAATGCCAAAGGAGCCAACGTTGCTGCATTGCAGTCCGCAACTGGAGCTATAGCTGTGCCTGCTCGTGGAGCGTCGCGTGCGACTGAGGTAGCGGCGCTCTGCGTAGAAGTCATCCGAGGTCCCGAGCCTCATGGGAAAGAGGCCAGACCCAGGAATGCCTTGTTTGTGTTTCTGTTGGGTCGAAGTGCTTAATTAGCCGATAGCCGACACCTCATGTTCTCAAGGGATGTGTACTGGCTTTTAAGAGCCGATTGAAGTCGTTCACATGCCCGACTTCCCTCCTCCCACCACGATTGCCTTCATCCCTGGAAGGCCACAGAGAGCTTGCTGGAGGAAGGCGCCGTGCATTGAAACAATGGAGCAAAAGATTACGTGTTCAGAGGTTCATCAGGGCAGCAGTCGAGTCCCTTGTGAAAAAGAGGTTCATCAGTTAAAACCGCTTGGAGGTTGAGTGAATCTGCCTTTGCAGATGTAGAGCACTGCCAGCGCTCAGACCTCCTGGATCGTGTGGCTGGCGTCCTCCGAAAGCAGGCCGAGGTTCGGGAGGCTGGGCGAGAAGAGACTCGAAGACTCGTCGAGTCGAATCGGTAACGTATGTCCGGTGCAAATTGTATTCCGCTCGGTCGTCATGTTGGCGCAGCCTAACAACGCCATGCCAAGAGCTTCCGCGCAAGCCAGAGTCTGAGAAGCCATACTTGGACCAGAGCTAGCTTTGCTGGTGTTGAAGTGACATTTTGAGTTTGTTGGCCCAACTTTGGGACCCATTGCCGTGACGGGAGAGGAGATGCAACCTGACATGCGCTTGCTCTCGAGTCGGCAAAGGGATGTTGAGACACGTGATCAGGCTTTGTCTCAGCGACACGACCGCAAGGGACGGAGCCTCAGCTTTTGACATGTGTCGCATGTCCCATCGCCACACCTTGGGCGCAGAACTTTGGAGCTTCGCTCGGTCGCTCACCACGTCTTTGCCGTGCCTCTCTCCATGACAGAACGTGTCAACCATGCCTCTGGGCAACATACTTTACAATCTGCAGCTTGGTTCAGACCAGGAGTCCGGGCCTGCTAAGGCCGTTGTGAAGCAGTGAGATAATCTCAGGATGGGGATCTTTGGTGCTCGCTGAGGTGAGCTTTCCATGCCTCAGCTGGCTGCGCCGCTTCGAAAGATTTGCGCTGGGAGCCCGGTCTCGCATCATGCCTGGGGGCCTCCAGAGCAGCAAAGCTTAATAGGTTGGTTGTTTTATGCCTCCGAAGTGCCCGATGCTTTCTGCTATAGGTTACCGAGTCGTGCATGAAGGGCAGGCCCTAATAGACTCACAGACTATGGGCGTCTGCAGCGCTGGCAGGCAGAACTGCGTGAAGCCGGCAGCAGATGGCCAGAGGCAACGAGTGGACGCGGGGGGGACGGGGACCAATGTTAGTCGAAGAGTCTGGCACTTCAGCTGTGATTCTGACGCTCTTGGAGTTGCGCGAATGTCTTTGCGGCTGGATGAAAGTCGGTCAAGTTCAGAGGCTTTTGAGGTTCTGATCTTCTGGCATCTCAAGCTTGGGTATCTCTGCCCTGAAGCTCAATGCGAAGGTACACATGGGCCTCTTCACGAACGATGCCTGGACTGAGGCATGTGTAACGTGTACCGTGCCTGGCTTATGCGATAACATGGTTGAACTGAAGCTCCTGATAGTGAAGGTTGATTCAAGTGCCATCACAGGGTGCAGGGTGCAGGGTGCAATTCTGACCAGATTTTATCAGTGACGCCTTCGCAGCTGATTCGGGGTTTTTCTTGCAGGGGCCAGGCAAGCAGAGGCCGTTGTCTTGAGGAAAGAGTTCTAGTAGGCATCTTACAAGCTCCCTGGGACGGTCCCCCAGTCCTTCTGCACCTCAGCAGTGCACGATGTGCTTCACAGGTCATCCTCCCAGATTTAGAGGAGTTCACGCAGCTGGAGGAGGAGCCCCTAGGTCTGCGCTGAGGGATTGACCACGTTCTTCACTAAGTCAGATTTGCAACATGCTTCGCACAGCAGAGTCGTGAGTGAGGGTTTCTCGGCCTCGTTGTTGTTGCGCTGACAACACGTGTGTGAGAAGGCACGAGAAGGTCTGCCCTTGCCAAACGCGAGGTGGCTTCGACAAGCTTGCGAGCGTTGCTTCCGTGGTGCTAGACTCAATCAGTGCTACAACGTCAGCAATTCAACTTTCAGGACTGTGAGGAGGCATTTTCTGTGAGATGCAATGCATATTTCTGTGTGTGTGTGTGTGCTGTGTGCGCGACTACCTTGCAATGCGGCAGAGGGACTGCGGCACAGCCCGTGCTAACGAAAGTGGTCAGGATATCACCAGGGTTGCCTGGTATCAGTTTGTGATGTTTAGGCCAGGCGAGCATCACACTGGCATCTAACAATACTGGGTCCCGAGAAAGATCTCTTGAGTGTGTCCTCAAAGCAAGATGCCAAAAGAATCATTGTGAAGCCGGCTTCTGGGGATTGCCCCAAATGCTCTCTGCCGTGAAAGCACGTCGAATTGTGCACTGTGCCTAGCCTCCGGGATGCAAAATTTTCAACAGCTTCTGTGTATGCTCGCTCGTTTGGCTGTGGAAGTAAGGCCATTCCCGGAGAGGTGGAGTTTACGCCCGAGGCAGGCAGAACCATGATGGGCAGCCCTGGTTGCACGTTGTTTTACAGGTGTGGCACTCATGGCACGACATGGCATTGCGAGCTGATGAACGAAGAGCTTTAGGTCCGAAGGTCGAGTGCATAGGGGGGTCCCTCTCGGAGCCTCAGCAAGCCTTCAGGCTGCCGAGGCCAATCTAGCTGAGAGATGCTTGACCTTTCGCCAGGACCTCCGTGACATCGATGAGGACTTTGACACAGAGTCCGGCTCTCAGGAAGCCTGGCCTACACGGGGTAGGACTGTTGTTGGGTCGCGTTGTTGCATCGGCGGCCAAAGTTTTCAGGAACAGGTTGTTTTAAAACAACAGTGATGAATTTGATTCAGCCAATCAACAGGAATTGGTGACTTGCAGGTGCCTGCTGAGCCTTGCGGGTGAACAGATGCTTCAACGGCAGGTGCCAAAGCCAGACTTTCGGTTGGTGCTGGTTTGGGGACGGTATGTGCTGCAGATGCTCCCTCTCCCATGCGTCCGCCAGGCCCGTGTTGCTGCCCATAAAGCTGGCGGGACCCGCGGCGCAGGGGAAGCATGTGGAGCTCGAACTCGGAAACTAAAGTATCACCCAATGCAGAACTGGGATTCAGAAACTTTGAATCATCCTGGTTGGCTCCATGATTCACAGATTCCGTGATCGGCCCTAAGGCCCTAAGGGTTTCCCAGTTAAAAGGACTTTCCAGGGAACGATCCCCTACCCCGAAGCCCGACCCTCATTACTCTCAGTACTCCAGCCCACACTTAAGATTCATTCGGTCCGGCGTTCTCATTTCGGACTCGCATTCAGCGAGCTCAGATGGTCACAGTTTCCGAATTGCAGTTTCAGAATCCTGCTTTTTGGCTCGCAGTTTCCGAAGAATTTGATTCTCTGGCCCAGTGCTGTCAGGCGATCAGGAGTCAGCAATGATAGGCGAGGTCGTGCAGGGGAGCCTAAAGCTTCAACCCAAAGCAAGTGGTCCTAACCCGAAAGCTGAAATCGCGTGGCCTCAAAGCAACACCTTGGCCTGGCTAAAGATCTCGGGCAGCTCTGGGACCCTGCCGCAATATGGGGGTTTACGATTTTTCAGGGGTACCTTATTACAGCCCTTATGATAAGGGGATCCTACTATTTGGGGGTCTATATCAAGGGGCCCCTTAGTCTCCTAAACCCCCCATATGCAGGACCGAAGCGGAGGAGCCGCAGGACACCGAGGAGCGATCGGCGAACCCGGAGGCGCATCCCAAGCTTTCCCACGCGAGGCGTCAGAGGCGTCAGAGGCGTCCGTCGCCCAAATCCCCAAAAGCCTCCAGGCGCCTGCGCCTGTCCATGAAGGCTTGGGGGAGTCGGCCGGTTGCAGGAGGTCGAAGCAAGTCATTGCAGGATTGAAGGATGAACAAAAACAGTCAGGTCAGACTTAAAGATGACATGACGCAGGGTGTTGGGGCGATGTGAAAGTCAAGCCATTCTGCCCTTGATTCTGCGCTATGCAGACCAACGCTCACTCTGTACGTGGCGCATGACAGTTGCAATATTGGCGATTGCGCCTGCCAAGCTTGCGCAGGCGACACTGAGTGGGTGTAGGCGTGGCATGCTGGAGGCAGTTGCGTCAGCGAGAGTTCAGTCAGGGACGCTCTTGAATCGATTCGCGCTGTGCATGCGCAGCCTCCTCTGCGCTCCGGCAAATGCTGCCATCCGTGGAATGACAATCGCAGCCCTGGAGAGTAAGAGCCTGTCAGAAGGAAGACCCAAAGACATCTGTGGGCTCCTTGCCGCTTCTAGGCTGAATCGCTTTTTATACCCGTGCATGCTTCACCCGTTCCAAGCTAAAGGGTTGTCAGGGCGCCCCGGTAACATCGAATACGTCATGCAAGCCTCCCGATAAGAACTTCTCGTTGTACTTTCTGCTCCCAACTCATCCGCCATGGTGCCCTAACAGCACTATTGCCCTATGCCGAATGTGGGGCTAAATTCTGCTCCATACCTTGCTTGAGGCTCCGTCTGGCTTCCAAGAGTTTGCAGTAACTAGGTCGGAGGGTGCATCAAGGGTATCTAGCACATAATCATTGGCTGGAGATTCTGTGATACAGGTTTCCCTCTATGAGGGGTGAGTTCCCTGGAAGAATCCAGTCGGTGCCTACGCCCCACGTTGCGAGTGAAAATCTTCAAGCATCTCAAGCTTTGCTAAGTCTGCTTTGTGCTTGCATCGAAGCCGATTGTGCTGCTGTGTGGGCCTTGTTGCCGACAGCAGCTCGAGTGCTGAGCAGCCCTGCCATGCAACGACCCGAGCTTGAGCCCGTCGCCGGCAGATATCTGAAGCCACGGAATGAGCGGAATGAGCTGTGTGCTGCCCTTGCGTCAGCAAAGTTCGTTCTGTTGCGTGCCCGCAGCATTTGCAGGTAGGCCGTTTTTTTTTGCTTCGCTAGCAGCTCAAGGTGGAGTCATGAGTAGTGGCAGGAAGTAACCGCTTGCACCCTGCATACTTTATATAGGCTTCATTTATCAGTTATAAAAACACAAATAACAAGGAAGTATAAATAGATAAAAAATATCTATACATATATAGCTCTCGGATGGGTAGCCGTCCATGAGCTTCAGGTGCTGAGCCCAGGTTTCAAGTCAGTGGGGGCGGGCTAAGCACATGGGCATCACCAAATGGCTTTCTTACTGTCTCTGGTGGCCCTAATTGGTGACTTAGTGGGTGCGTTATTCGGCTGCAGTTATACCCTGTTGTGGTTGAGGCTTGGGGCTGGTTTCATGCCTAAAGCCTGCCGTGGCGTTGCCGCACCTCAGCTGTTGGTGTGTAGTCTGAAGTGGAGGTGTGATGGGCCTCTGCTCGTCACACAGCAAGGTCCACGACTGAGGTTTTCCAATTAGTGCTTCTCAGAGTGCAGGATGTGATTCCACATCACCCCCCAGGTTGCCGGAAGACGTGAGATCTCAAATGGCTGGTGCTCGAATCGCAGGCTACCATAATCTACCATAACAGCCAGTGCAGCCTCAAGCCCCACTAAACCTCAGCTTGCAGCGTTGTGTCTTTTGGAGTCCCTCGTCTCACCAATGGTCTTCCAAGCCCTTGCCTTGTCCTGCCAAGGCGCATAGGAAATTCGCCGAGGCCGGGGGTTGAGCTCTCTGGTGACTGCTATCCCGAAGCCACAGAACGAAGCTTTCCGAGCCGTGAGGTAGCAGAGGGCTTGACGCTGATATCCAGCAGCCTCCCACTATCGCAAAACTGCCTGATGTCCCGCCATCCCTTCAGAGGGTAAAGCTGGCAACAAGTCCCATATGCCCAGCAACCTTTGTCGCAGCCCTTCTTGCAGCCCTTGACACGAGGCACCAGTTCCCAAGCCGCAAACCAGGCATGGCCGGACTTGAGGGGACAAGACAGCAGACTGGGGCTGCTGCTGCAGGATTGCTGATGGGGTGGCGGCATTCCCGCTTTGGTGCAAGGATTGAGCCTCCACTAGCGACAGCTTTAGATTGTGTTAGGACTGATGGTGCCATCACGGAGCATTAGTTGGACCGCTCTGGAACCGCAGTAGTCCACCTCATGAGTCGTTTGTCCATTTGCGCAGAGTCTCTTGGATGGAGGGAGTCGACTGCTGCGCCTGAAGACGGGCCGGGGACCAGATTCGCATGTAGAGGGGCTGCAGAAGTCACTGATGCGAGGATTGCATCCTGAAGTGTACTGTCTTCGAAGGCGTGCTCGAGTTTTTGCACTGACTGCGGTGGCTCAAGTGTGTCTCAGCCGTCTTCGCCAGATGTACAGCGCGGACCGCAAGATATCGGTTGATCGTGCCGACGAGATTGTCGCAAAGCCGACGCGACCTGGGAAGAGCAGCCTGTGTCAGATTTGTCTCCCACTGTCAGTGGAGTAGCTGCTATTGCCGCGCCAAGGGCCGATGACCGTTCCAAGAACCAGGGTATGCTTGATCTTTAGCAAAACAGCAATGAGAGGCGGCTGGTACTGGAGGCCGAACATGCTTCGCCAGAGAACATCGCCAGAATGCTGCCTGCGTGCAGACCGCACATGAACTGGGAGACCGTGCATTCCCAGCATGGCAGCGGGGCTTTCTGCATGAGGAGGCAGAGGCAGAACGTCAGCATCACGCAAGCTGATTTCTGAAATCAGTGTTTGCACCCCCATAGGCCTAGATTCTCTGCCGCCTTGGCTTTGTAGCTTGTCAGGGTCTACGTCTATAATCCTGCACCCAATCTGACATGTTGGAGCTGCTCGCTGCGGTGCGACTGCATAGTTATGGTTCCTGTTTGCCATGCACTACTGGCAGCTGCTAGAGATGTAACATGGGGTCTCGGGATCCTCTTGTTGATGGTGAAATCAAATTGCTGCTGTAGGGGGTCTGAGCTGAAGTTGAGTTGTGGCTGTGTGACACGTGCGTCGGACGCGTTGGAGGGGCCTTGCTTGGCAGCGCCTGAGGTCGCAATCTGAGCCGTCTGAGGATGAGGAGGCCGTGCCTGTCTCAGCTTCTGGACTCGGCCTGGAGGGCTCCGGTTGCGCAAAATATATCTCTCAGTCTGGTCACAAAGTTGTGCTCTAGGACTCAAGGTTGTTTTGTTCTGATCGGGACGCACGGCATTAGGTTTTTTTGTGCGGCCGGGGTTTCGCACTTTCGGGGGGTGTGGTACTGGGAGCTTGGCAACGAAAAATTGTCGTGGCAATGAAGGTGCTCGCAGCCTAACACTAAACCGCGCCAAAGCAGTGACACTCGGTGTCCCAAGTACTGAACTCAAGCTCGTGTGACTGTATTTCTAGATTCTAGTTGCCATGTTCCATACTGACAGTTGCTGCACAATCCCAGGGCACCAAGTCGCGTTGGGCGGATGTTTCAACTGAGTTTAGCAGCAGGCTGGGCATTTTGCTGGGGGCTGATTGTGGCTAAGTCAGGGTGCTCTTTTTGGGATTCGGCAGATCCCTATATCAGGGCACCTAATCGGGGCCTCATTCCACAACAGTGAAAACCACATCGGGGTTTGGTCGTGGGCCTTCCGCCACTTCGGAGCCCGGCGACTGGTGAGGTTGGGATTCGTTCTCTGATGATAAGATGCACAAAAGATCACAGAAGGACTCCAGGAGGTCCCATGCAAACACTGCGAATGTGGCAATACGCAGCAGCCAGGGACCCAACTGGCAGGCTGCTCGAACGTACGAGCATAAGACGGTCGGGAGACGAAGGATTAAAATTGCGAGACATGGCCTGATAGGAAAACAGCAAGAGCCAGAATACATGATACAAAGATGAGGACAACTCGCACTGGTATTGGAGAAGGCGCATGGTAACGTCGATCGTGTTCATAAAACTTGTGCAGCGAGCGAGCTCATCCTGCTGGGGCGTTTGGAACTTCCCAGTGTTTTATATCGAGTCTGTGAGTTGTGTGGGGGCACGAAGAGTTTGTGGATATTCAGGTGCTGCAGTTGGGCCGTGCTGTTCCTCGTCATGATTGGTCCTAACAGCTCCGGTTCCATGACGCTCGATGGTCGTGTAATGTGGTGTGTGGGATGGGGCCCTTTTCGTCCAACCAACTGTAGGATAGCTACCACATGACCCTTTCAGACAACGTACCTGTGTGACCATTTCTCTTTTTGTATCATTAGCGTCCGATATATCGGCTCTAGCGGCGGGAGTGGTGGTGAGGGGTTGGGGGCAGTGCCGCATCAGTAGCTCTGCTGCGGAACCTGGTTGTCATGTCATTGGCTCTCGAGTGTTACGTGTGCCTGTCAGGATCAACAACCTGATCTTGCATTCAACTGGCCACTCGGCTGCAACGACAGGTTGGAGGGGACTTCGTTGCCCAGCTTGCTTGGCTGCGAAAGCGACAAGGCATGGAGTCGTGACAAGACATTTCCAAGTCCAGAAAAAAATGTCGTCCCGGTGTATTCCTGGAGCAGAATACGCAGACAAGTTGCCCCTTAAAGAAATCACGCAGCCTTCGGGTGGTGGGGGCAGTTTCGCGAGGCATCTGCAATACCGGAAGGCAAGTGAAAGAAGCTAGCGGCTAGAAGCGCGGAGGTCATTGCAAAAAAAAGCCACCAGATTGAAAGCCCAAGCAAATGACGTGAAATCGCAGAAAGCTTGTTTCACGAAATGTGGACAACTCTGAACTCCAGAAGGTCCCCATGGCACCCCTCGAGCTTGGTTTTGTTGCCCCTGACATGGTCTCGTGGTTTGGGGGCAACAAGGAGTCTAAAGCGATTCACCACGATTCACCACTACTTCATCCCAACAACCTTTCCCTAACCAGCGGTGGCCCGAGGCAACATCAAGCAGTTCTACGATCTCCAAAGCGAGAAGCTGGGCGAAGGCGGCTTTGGCTTTGTCGTGGAGGCCGACCTTGCCGTGCTTGTGTTGGAGAATGTGCTAGACATGTGTAGGGATTCCTGAGGCCAAGAACTTCGGGACTGGGAACAGATATGCTGTCAAGAAGGTCTCCAAGGCAGATGCAGATTCTTGCTGCCGACCGCTGCGGAGTTTTCATGACGTATGGGGCAGAAAACGCAACCAATTTCGTTTTTCGTTCCTGCCGCAGCATCGACAGATCTCTGCCTTGCCATGCGCGTCAGATCAATCCACCTGACTTGCCAAATGGTGCCAATCACGGCAGTTCGGCCTGCAAGTGTCTAGGGGGCAACATCCAGCTGATGCTAGTGATGCTCGCCTCCTGGCTCGGCAAATGGCGCCAGTTTGTTCTGCAAGCGTCTGAGGCTCAGGGGGCGGTGTGGCCAGAACAACAGCCAGCTGATGCTCATGATGCTCGCCTACTAGCTCGCCAAATGGTGCCAATCACTGGGGCAGTTTGTTCTGCTAGCATCTGAGGCTTTGGGGTAGTGTGGCCAGAACAATCTCAGCTGATGCTCATGATGCAAGCCTCCTGGCTTGCCAAATGGCGCCAATCACTGCGGCAGTTTGTTCTGCAAGGCTTAGGGGGGCGGTGCGGCCAGAACAATGCCCAGTTCCGGCTCATCAAATGGCGCCAATCACTGCGGCAGTTTGTTCTGCAAGCGTCTGAGGCTTGCGGGGCGGCGTGGCCAGAACAATACCCAGCTGATGCTCATGATGCTCGCCTCCTGGCTCGTCAAATGGGGCAGTTTGTTCTGCAAGCGTCTGAGGCTTAGGGGGCGGTGTGGCCAGAACAATACCCCGCTGATGCTCATGATGCCTCCTGGCTCGTCAAATGGCGCCAATCACCAGTTTGTTCTGCAAGCGTCTGAGGCTTAGGGGGCGGTGTGGCCAGAACAACACCCAGCTGATGCTCATGATGCTTGCCTCCTGGCTCGTCAATAGGCGCCAATCACTGGGGCAGTTTGTTCTGCAAGTGCTGAGGCTTAGGGGGCGGTGTGGCCAGAACAATACCCAGCTGATGCTCATGATGCTTGCCTCCTGGCTCGTCAACTGGCACCAATCACTGTGGCAGTTTGTTCTGCAAGTGCTGAGGCTTAGGGGACGGTGTGGCCAGAACAATACCCAGCTGATGCTCATGATGCTCGCCTCCTGGCTCGCGAGAATCACTGGGGCAGTTTGTTCTGCAAGCGTCTGAGGCTGAGGGGGCGGTGTGGCCAGAACAATACCCAGCTCATGCTCATGATGCTTCTGAGGCTTAGGGGGCGGTGTGGCCAGAACAACACCCAGCTGATGTTCATGATGCTCGCCTCCTGGTTCGCCAAATGGCGCCAATCACTGGGGCAGCTTGTTCTGCAAGCGTCTGAGGCTAGGCCAGAACAATTCCCAGCTGATGCTCATGATGCTCGCCTCCTGGCTCGTCAAATGGCACCAATCACTGGGGCAGTTTGTTCTGCAAGCGTCTGAGGCTTAGGGGGCGGTGTGGCCAGAACAACACCCAGCTGATGCTCATGATGCTCGCCTCCTGGCTCGTCAAATGGCGCCAATCACTGGGGCAGTTTGTTCTGCAAGCTTCTGAGGCTTAGTAGGGCTTTGGAGGCGGTGTGGCCAGAACAATACCCAGCTGATGCTCATGATGCTCGCCTCCTGGCTCGTCACATGGCGCCAATCACTGGGCAAGTTTGTTCTAGGGGGCGGTGTGGCCAGAAGCATACGCAGCTGACGCTCATGATGCTCGCCTCCTGGCTCGTCAAATGGCGCCAATCACTCGGGCAGTTTGTTCTGGGCTTAGGAGGCGGTGTGGCCAGAACAATACCCAGCTGATGCTCATGATGCTCGCCTCCTGGCTTGCCAAATGGCGCCAATCACTGGGGCAGTTTGTTCTGCACGCGTCTGAGGCTTAGGGCAAGCGTCTGAGGCTGAGGGGGCGGTGTGGCCAGAACAAGGCCCATTTGATGCTCATGATGCTTGCCTCCTGGCTCGTCAAATGGCGCCAAGGGGGCGGTGTGGCCAGAAGCATACGCAGCTGATGCTCATGATGCTCGCCTCCTGGCTCGTCAAATAGCGCCAATCACTGGGGCAGTTTGTTCTGCAAGCGTCTGAGGCTTAGTAACAGGGCTTAGGAGGCGGTGTGGCCAGAACAATACCCAGCTGATGCTCATGATGCTCGCCTCCTTGTTCTGCAAGCGTCTGAGGCTTAGTAGGGCTTAGGAGGCGGTGTGGCCAGAACAATACCCAGCTGATGCTCATGATGCTCGCCTCCTGGCCCGTCAAATGGCGCCAATCACTGGGGCAGTTTGTTCTGCAAGCGTCTGAGGCTTAGGGGGCGGTGTGGCCAGAACAATACCCAGCTGATGCTCATGATGCTCGCCTCCTGGCTCGTCAAATGGCGCCAATCACTGGGGCAGTTTGTTCTGCAAGCGTCTGAGGCTTAGTAGGGCTTAGGAGGCGGTGTGGCCAGAACAACACCCAGCTGATGCTCATGATGCTCGCTTCCTGGCTCGTCAAATGGCGCCAATCACTGGAGCAGTTTGTTCTGCAAGCGTCTGAGGCTGAGTAGGGCTTAGGAGGCGGTGTGGCCAGAACAATACCCAGCTGATGCTCATGATGCTCGCCTCCTGGCTCGTCAAATGGCGCCAATCACTGGGGCAGTTATACCCAGCTGATGCTCATGATGCTCGCCTCCTGGCTCGTCAAATGGCGCCAATCACGGGGGCAGTTTGTTCTGCAAGCGTCTGAGGCTTAGTAGGGCTTAGGAGGCGGTGTGGCCAGAACGATACCCAGCTGATGCTCATGATGCTCGCCTCCTGACTCGTCAAATGGCGCCAATCACTGGAGCAGTTTGTTCTGCAAGCGTCTGAGGCTTAGTAGGGCTTAGGGGGCGGTGTGGCCAGAACAATACCCAGCTGATGCTCATGATGCTCGCCTCCTGGCTCGTCAGGGGGCTTAGGAGGCGGTGTGGCCAGAACAATACCCAGCTGATGCTCATGATGCTCGCCTCCTGGCTCGTCAAATGGGGCAGTTTGTTCTGCAAGCGTCTGAGGCTTAGTAGGGCTTAGGAGGCGGTGTGGCCAGAACAATAACCCAGCTGATGCTCATGATGCTCGCCTCCTGTCTCGTCAAATGGCGCCAATCACTGGGGCAGTTTGTTCCGCAAGCGTCTGAGGCTTAGTAGGGCTTAGGAGGCGGTGTGGCCAGAACAATACCCAGCTGATGCTCATGATGCTCGCCTTCTGGCTCGTCAAATGGCGCCAATCACTGGAGCAGTTTGTTCTGCAAGCGTCTGAGGCTTAGTAGGGCTTAGGAGGCGGTGGCGCCAGAACAATACCCAGCTGATGCTCATGATGCTCGCCTCCTGGCTCGTCAAATGGCGCCAATCACTGAGGCAGTTTGTTCTGCAAGCGTCTGAGGCTTAGTAGGGCTTAGGAGGCGGTGTGGCCAGAACAATCTGCCAGCTGATGCTCATGATGCTCGCCTCCTGGCTCGTCAAATGGCGCCAATCACTGGGGCAGTTTGTTCTGCAAGCGTCTGAGGCTTAGTAGGGCTTAGGAGGCGGTGTGGCCAGAACAATATTCAGCTGATGCTCGTGATGCTCGCCTTTCTTCGTCAAATGGCGCCAATCGCTGGGGCAGTTTGTTCTGCAAGCGTCTGAGGCTTAGTAGGGCTTAGGAGGCGGTGTGGCCAGAACAATACCCAGCTGATGCTCATGATGCTCGCCTCCTGGCTCGTCAAATGGCGCCAATCACTGGGACAGTTTGTTCTGCAAGCGTCTGAGGCTTAGTAGGGCTTAGGAGGCGGTGTGGCCAGAACAATACCCAGCTGATGCTCATGATGCTCGCCTCCTGTCTCGTCGTCTGAGCTTAGTAGGGCTTTGGAGGCGATGTGGCCAGAACAATACCCAGCTGATGCTCATGATGCTCGCCTCCTGGCTCGTCAAATGGCGCCAATCACTGGGGCAGTTTGTTCTGCGAACAATACCCAGCTGATGCTCATGATGCTCGCCTTTCTTCGTCAAATGGTGCCAGTCACTGGGGCAGTTTGTTCTGCAAGCGTCTGAGGCTTAGTCGGGCTTAGGAGGCGGTGTGGCCAGAACAATAACCCAGCTGATGCTCATGATGCTCGCCTCCTGTCTCGTCAAATGGCGCCAATCACTGGGGCAGTTTGTTCTGCAAGCGTCTGAGGCTTAGTAGGGCTTAGGAGGCGGTGTGGCCAGAACAATACCCAGCTGATGCTCATGATGCTCGCCTCCTGGCTCGTCAAATGGCGCCAATCACTGGAGCAGTTTGTTCTGCAAGCGTCTGAGGCTTAGTAGGGCTTGGGAGGCGGTGTGGCCAGAACAATACCCAGCTGATGCTCATGATGCTCGCCTCCTGGCTCGTCAAATGGCGCCAATCACTGGGGCAGTTTGTTCTGCAAGCGTCTGAGGCTTAGTAGGGCTTAGGAGGCGGTGTGGCCAGAACAATGCCCTCTGATGCTCATGATGCTCGCCTCCTGGCTCGCAATGGCCGCCCAATCACTGGGGCAGTTTGTTCTGCAAGCGTCTGA